TTTTTACTTCAACTGACATGTATTTTGATATCTTATTAATTATTTTCATCATTACATGGTTAAAGTTAGATATTATTTCATCATTTCCACTCCTTATTTTAGCACCTAACTTAAGATCAACATCTTCCAATGGTTTAATGACTTCTTCGCAAGAAACTTCATTAAAGTTATATAGGTTTTTTAAAACCTCCTACTAAGTTCCTTTCAAACCTTTTAAAGCTTAATGCTAAATTCCTTGCACAAGTCTTTCTTTCTCTAATATTGGACTCTAGGGCAACATGAGTTGACCTATTATTCATCACCATAATCCGATTGTAATAATCATCATAAATTTTTATTTTTTTCTTATGTTTTTCCTCCATTTCTTCAGCAAAGCATCAATATTTTTCATTAATGATTCTATTAGTTTCCTCTAATCTTCACTCAAGACGTGCTAATGACATATATATGTCTCTCTCTTCATCGTTTTCTAACTCTATTCCCTAAAAAGATGGTATTTTATGTTCTATTCTAAAAAGAATGTCAACTAACTTGTCTTTCTCTTTTAGACTTCCTTGTATTTTTGGGTTTTTTGGTGCCATGATTCAAAAGAATAAATTTGATGCTCCTATTATGGTCACCAATTGTTTGATGTAGATTCCTTCATATCTACCTGAATTATGAGGACTTTCCAACTTCATATTAAAGTTTTAAGTTAATTGGTTTAAACTCTAGAGTTCTACTTTAATTGGTCTAAACTCTAAATTTAGTTTTAGATTTACTCAAATAATTCTAAATTTATATTATTGAATACATATTTATCAATATGATTAAATCTACTTTACACAACCAGTAGTTCAACTAAAAGAAGTAACCAAATATTAAAATAACTTGAATGTAAAGTTAACTCAATAACTTAGAAAATGAATACTTACATTTAAAGAGTGATTCATACTCTAATTACATCAATGAATTGGAACTCTAGGAGAATAGAACATTTCTTTTGGTATTTTTAGTTTATGGAATTGATCTATAATTTTACTGATTATAAAGGAAATTACAAGCCTACTTGACTATTATCTACATATTTATCGCCCACAGAATTACCGTCTACTAGTTTCAGGTTTGAAAGGTCATGAGAACTTAATAAAATTATAATACAGTGATTTGAGTTTGAATTATTAGTTTTTTTAATTTTTGTCTCTATCTTCCTTGCAATCCACGTTATATAATCAATTATGCGATGTTTACATTAACTATTAGTTAGCTACCGATAACTTCCTATTTTTTAGGGCTCTTTTCACGATCTAATATCCATGAGAGTTACTACTGCTTTTTAATTAAGTGGCTTATTACACCTACTTGTATGGTTAATCCTATCTGCATGTTCCTTCTTTTATGTAAATCTTATCTTTTAAGTTTCTTTTAATTAATCTTATCATGCAACTCTCTTATGCTCTTTTGTTTATCTCTTATATATTTTTATACAATTATGCCTTGAATGTTTCCCCATTCAAATAAACTGTTGCGGGCTAGATATCTTTTGTCAGGCACACAAAGTGATATCGGCATGTGACTTGTGATTATAGTAATTATGACTATCATAGGTGTTCATAATTTGGTTTGGTTCAGTTTGGTATAGACTTAAAAAACCAATCAAATTGAATTATATTAATTTTATGAAATATTAACCGAAATGGACTGAAAATCGGTTCAAACTGTTAAATCCAGTTTTTTTTGGCAAAATAACCTGGAAACCTAATCCCATCATCTGGATTTTTCATTTGACAAGGAGAAAACATAGGCAAAGAAAGAAGATAGATTTTACAACCATGGTTTCCATTGCCATTAGTCCCATTGATCTCAACCATTACTTACAACAAGAAAGACAACTAAGAATGAAAAGGGAGAAAAGTTAAGAACAAGAAAAAGATACAAGAAGTGACAGATGCGCAAAGATATTTTCTTTGAGATAGCTTTGTTCTTCTCTATGGAGTATATATAGCAAGTACAAGCTACTACAACTTTTCAAGTTACAAAGGCTTATAAATATACAAAAGCAAGGGAGAGAAACAATTGTTAACTCCTATTTTCTTTACTATGTTTTCACCGAAGATCACTACTTTCCAATTTTCTTTGGGTGTGTATGACGTTGAAAAATATGACCTCCGTATTAAAAGCTCATTCAACAACCCACTGGAAAGGAAGATTAGGAAACTAGGAAAGGAAGATTGGAAATTAATTGAGAGGAAGATTATTGAGAATTTTTATGGGGCAAGCATCAACTTTTTGTGAGAAGCAGGAAGGTTATATTAACTGTTATGGTTAGGTTACAATTTAACTATTTATACCTCAAAGATTTGGGTAATTTTTGGTTTTTAATGGGTCTGGTTTGGTTTGTGCTGGTTTTTGGTTCAAAACCAAACCAAACTTGTTAAAATTTATGATTTTGACAATTTGTTTAATCGGTTTTTCATTTTAGTTTGGTTTTTTTGGTTAATTTTTCTTCAGTTTTTTTGGTTAATCGATTATTTTTAACACCCCTAATGACTATGATAGGCAAAGAGATAACTCCTATTTTCTTTACCATGTTTTCGCTGAAGATCATTGCTTTCCAATTTTCTTTGGGTGTATGTGACGTTGAAAAATGTGACCTCCGTATTGAAAACTCATTGAACAACCCACTGGAAAGGAAGATTGGAAATTAATTGAGAGGAAGATTGGGAATTTTTTTGGGACAGGCGGTAGCTTTTTATGAAAGGCAATAAGGTTATATTAACTGTTAGGGTTACGTTACAATTTAACTATTTATACCTCAAAGATTTGTGTAATTTTTGGTTTTTAATGGGTCTGATTTGGTTTGTGCCAGTTTCTGGTTGAAAACCAAAACCGAACCAAACCTGTTAAAATATATGATTTTGATAATTTGTTTAATCGATTTTTCATTTCGGTTCGGTTTTTTCGGTTAATTTTTCTTCAGTTTTCTTGGTTAATCGATTATTTTGAACATCCCTAATGAATATGATAGGCAAAGAGATTGTATGGAGGAGATGGGGATGCATATCTGCAGAGAAGGGGAGAGGGGAAGAGTACTGCAGGCATGGAATTCTGTTATTTCTGGGAGAGCAGATGAAGCTAAATGGTCTTTAATCGCATTTAATGATAAGATACTCTGTTGTTTTGACCAAATAGGTTTACAAAATCACTCTTTACTGAAGAGAAACCTGTGGTCTAGTGGTGGAATAAGGTTCCTTCCAGGCATGCTGACTACTCAGATTCCTGTCTTGCCATTCTTGATCTGAGAACCTGGCTCTCCAATTTGCTACACATGAAAAATCACTCTTCCTTAGTTGATTACATGCTCAACAGAACATATTTTATTGATGGCTTGCGTGGTAAAAAGATAAAAACAAAACAAACAATAAAAATCTCCACACAAATTCGCAGTCAAAACACATTTTGATCTGAGATGCTTTGGCCTTATATACAAGCATCGAATTCAAACCAGCGCCATTATCAAGATGCTTATAAATCCAATCTAGAAAAAACATTTCACTGGTTTTTGACCGATGAAGTATCATGTTTTCTTTCTCCAACAATTTAAAGAACCAGCACTCCATAACTATACACATCAGACTTGTATGAAACCCCTCCAAAGTTTCTGCATAATACTTCTGGTGCGATGTATCCAACAGTCCCTCTTGCAACCACCCTCCATCGAAACCTTACTTTTCCCTGCTCTTGCATAGTTTTGAGAGACCAAAATCAGAAATCTTTTGACAAAAACCTTCACTGAGAGGAACTCTGTTGATTTCCAATAGCAATGTCATACGGTACTTCAATTTCCAAAGGATGGCCTGTAGGTTGAGATCCTTGACTACATATAAACTTATCTAGACATCCATTAGGAATGTATTCATAGACCAAAGCTCTTTTAGTCCTCTCATAACAAATTATACCCCATAAGAGTAACTATGTTTACATGGGAAGTGCTACTAATGCATGCAACATCATTAATAAATTCCTGCCCTCCAGATTTTGATTTATTTATAAACACCATCATATCCTCCTTGACCAAATTTTCCGTTGAATGAGTCGGTCATTTTCTTGAATTCTGAGTATGAATATCTCTTTGGAGTAAGAGATTAATAATTCACCATGAATGCCTAAATCTTTTGATTGTCCTTTGTATTCTTCCACCACCAGAGTCATTGGCTTGGTCGTAGATAATCCATCCATCGTATCACAACTATATAGACTGCTAATATCACTGCCACAGTAGCTGATATGACTGTAAAGACTGGAGAACCCCATGTGTAGTTGATGATTACTAATTTACTACCTAATCCGCCATGATAAGTGGCCTATTATTCTTGGAAGTTCCTGCAGTCTAAGCCAAAAAAATATACAATTAGGGAATAATTAGTTAAATTACGAAATAAGAAGATAAATTTACGACGCATTGAGAAAGGTGTACTTAACCATTCATAACTTGTAACGAAATAAATGGAATTATTTTTTCTTAATTATAAATTATAATAATTAACCGGCATGATTGTGAAGAAATTAGTCTCTTTTTTTTTTTTTGGGTTTATAGTTATAGAATAATTAATTACTTTTTACGAACCAAAAAATAAATATACAGAATAATCTATCATGTCAATATAATTTTTTTAATTAAGTCTTCAAATAACTGTAGAAGTCGTCCTTAATTCAGAACCTAATCCATTAAAGAGTTGCTAAACACTATGTTAATACATATTTGCCCATGTTGCTTAACCAAACACTAACATTGTTTAAAACCAGCAATCTAAACAGGAAACCCAGAGAAGGTCTGTCCGTACGAAAGACTGATTTCTTTCACATTCCATGCAAGAGAGAGATAAAAGGCACAAGACGTTCACTATATTTCTTTTGTGCTGCTTTGTTGTGAAGAAAGGTCTGCCTAAATGCCACCAATTTGCTGGCAAGTGGAACGTCTTGGAGCATCAAGCCTTGTTTAAACAAAGAACAGATCAGTTATGGCCACTTGCTTAGTCCTTTCGCGTCTTCTTTTCTCGCTTCTGGTTATTTGGGGTATGTTTCTTTCTTGTTTTAACTACTTTTTGTGCCTGCAATGTTCTGTTTGGTTTCCTGGAAAAGTACTGAAAGAAAATGAAAGAACAACTTAAACTTGTGGGTTACCTAAATGAGTAGTATAATTCTTTTGCTTCGTTGGGCTGTTTTTTTTTTTTTTACTGAACATATTGTTTTACTTTTACACTGTATTTTATTCAAGCACGAAAACAGAGTTTTTTTAATTTCAATTTCATGATAAATTAGTGGGATTACTTGCTTTTTCTTTTTTTGGATTACTTCCTTCTTCTTTTTTTTGTATTTCTTTTCTTGATTGTTTTCTTATTATGAATTGGTATTTAGAATTTAGTGAAACTGAAGATCAATGTCAATTATCATGAATTGATAATAGTAATATTTATTTTTACTCTATATATTTTCAGAAAAAAGGTTTCCTTTTCTGTGTCCTGAGATCTTTTTTTAAAAAATATTCTTTCTTTTCTGTTAATTTTTGAACCAAAGATTTTTATTTTCCTTTTTGTTATGATATTTGATGATTCTTGTGCTTATTCCTCTCTTTTTTTGCTGCACCTTTCTTGATTTTAGTTTTGTTCACATAATTAAAAACTCTTGTTTGTCACTCTTTTCTCAGGTTCAGCTGTCCAAATCCATGGCGTTGAACTTGGGATTAACTATGGTCAGACTGCCAACGATCTCCCATCACCCACTCTAGCAGCTGTGCTGCTTCAATCTCTCAACGTCCATAGGGTAAAACTATTTGATGCTGATCTCAATGTCCTAATTGCCTTTTCCAATTCTGATATTGAGCTCACTATTGGACTTGGCAATGAGGACATTCAAAAAATGACTGTTCCCACAGAAGCTGAAAATTGGATTCAGCAGAATGTTCAGCCCCATATCCCTCAAACCAAAATCACTTGCATCGCTGTCGGAAACGAGGTCTTCAGCAGTAATGATGCCCAGTTAATGTTTAACCTTCTCCCAGCAATGAAAATGATTCATAACACTCTTGTGAATCTTGGATTAGATAAACAAGTGATGATCACTACGCCACATTCTTTTAACATCTTGGAAAATTCCTATCCTCCTTCATGTGGCACTTTTCGAGAAGATCTTGCTGAATACATCAAGCCTTTATTGCGTTTTCTTTCTCAAATCAAGACGCCTTTCTTTATCAATACGTATCCATTTTTTGCATACAAGGCTAACCCGACTCAGATTTCTCTGGACTATGTACTTTTCCAGCCTAACAAAGGGATGAAAGATCCAAATACTAATTTGCTTTATGATAACATGTTGTATGCTCAAGTAGATGCCGTGTATTCAGCAATGAAAGCAATGGGGCACACGGATATTGAAGTTAAGAATTCAGAAACAGGCTGGCCATCGAAGGGTGACCCTGATGAGGTGGGATCAACACCAGAAAATGCAAGGCTATATCATAGTAATTTGCTCAAAAGAATTCAGGAGAAGCAAGGTACACCAGCAAGACCATCAGTCCCAATCGAAGCATATGTTTCCGCTCTCTTTAACGAGGATTTGAAAACAGGTCCAACATCTGAAAGGAACTATGGACTCTTCTATCCTGATTGTTCCCCAGTTTATAATATTGGATTGCAGGATCATTTTCCTACAAATGGAGTAGTTTATTCTTCAGCATCATCCAATAAAAATGTAAGTCACATTTTCTCTCATCATTACTAACTAGTGTTTTGGTTGAAGTACAATTAAAATTGAATTGCATTTTGAATGATTCTGCAGGCATTGTCTGTCTTCTGCTTGCTGATCTTTGTTATGGTGTCCTTAATCCTTGCTTAAGACCATATCGGAGGATGGGGGGAGAGATCAACAACAAAAGCATATATACTGGTGGATAACTAACAGCTAATTACTTCTGTTAGAGTTTTTTTTATATAATTATAAATAGTTGTAGCATCTTCAACACCCCTTTATATAATCATTGGCTTCTTTGCTTGTTTATTTATTATTTAGAAAAAAATATGATATTTCATCCTTTGCCTTAAATAATTTTTTTATGAACTTTTATTCTTTTTATATTTTTTAATTAAGATTCTGTATGTTAGCTAGTTAACGTAATATAAAAATAAAGAATATATACACCCATATTCAATTAAATACTTAGTCCCATACCAAAGGAGTATTTTATTAATTTATTTTACTTTACTAATTTATCATGTCTTATATCCATAAAATATTTCACAACGTTATTCCATTAAGAATAGTAGAATATGTATCAAAATAAAAATTAGATGCAAAAAGAAAGAAATTTTAAACTATGGAGCACATTAAAAAATAAAGAAAAAGAATATAAACCATGTTATGAATCTTTTAATTTGATGATTCAAGAACTACATCACGTTCTTAGGGTCAACATTTGTTGATTTTATCAAATACATTGTAAATTAGATTTCAAAAACTCACGGACTGAATTTTTTTTAATTTTTTTTGTTAGTTTAGATAAAATTAAGAGGAAAATTGATTCACAATTGAAATCTCAAGGTGGACATTGATAAACTTGAAATCTTGGAGGGAACAACTAGATTCACAGGGATAAATTAAAATATAAGAAACAAAGAGGGGCATTATACTCTCCTTCAGGTCCTACTAATAAAAAAGTGAAATTAGAAAAAAAGAGAGGGGCAATGGTGTTGATATTGAGACAGGAATAGGATACAGGACAAGTAATTACATTAGAATTAAAGTACAAATTGTAAAAGAAATGAAAACACTAGGGGTTTTGAACATCCTGTTGACCGCATTATTCATTCATACAACGCTTTTTTTTTTTTGATTATTAAACTTTATTTTCTTACAACTTTGTCATTCAAAGTTATATTAGCATTGTTAAATTAAAAATCAATATTAGAAGAAAAAAAATCTTAGATATTAGTTATAAGATTAAAAAAACAAGGACAAAAAAAGAACCCACTATTCAAAAAGCATAGAAAATGGAGCAGAAAAAAAGGTTATAGTTACGAATATGATGAACCAAGACATGGTTGAGAAGAAATGGGATTACATTTTCACAGAGGAGGCAAGAAAACATTTCTGTGTTGGAGTGCCACTAGCTTTTTCACTTTACATTACGTCAGAAATGGTTTATAATTTACTATTTACAATTGCATTACATTAGTACACTTTCTCATAACTCATTTCTAGATTATTTCTTTAAATTTATTTATTTATTTATTTTTAAAAAAATATAATAATAGTAAGGAGACTGGCGATTCAAAAAAAAAAAAAAGGCTAGCTAAGGAAGGATTTCAGATATGTATAAAATTAAGTTGCAATTTTGGACAAAGTTGACTCCGTTGTGCCAAAAACTTAAGAGACAACGATCGATTCAAGGTCAAATAAAATAATTATTAGATGAATTTGTATAAAAATTAAGTTCAATGATATAATTAGATTTTTAATAGGTCAATTTGATTTAATCATAGGATAAATTAAAAGTTTATTTATGTTTAAATATTAATTTGGGTCTAATTAAAGGATTTAATTATGTGCAAGAATTTAATTATACTTTAAATAAGTTAAATTAATTTTGTTAGGGACTTAATTGGTGAAAAATTAAGTTTGGGAGCACAATTAGAGCTTAATAGAGAATATTTGAATTTTAAAGGATCAAATTTAAATTTTACAAAGTCATTTGGTTCAAATCAAGAGTAAAATCACAAGAAAATCAAACACTACAAGATTTCACAGTTTTACCGAAGGAAATATTTCGTCGGTGTGTGATTACGAGTTCGTCTGTAATTTATTTACCAACTTCTTCACCGATAGAATACGTCTGTCGGCTTTCCTTTCTTTAGTAATTCCGCATTTCGTCGCTAGGTTGGCAACACAAAAAAAAATTTGCCGATGGTTTTACAAACAGAATTTGCGCGCCAAAAATAAAAAGTTTCCCGCTTGAAATATATCGATGGATTTATCCCGTCGGTGATAGTATGATGTACTAACAGACACATACTGTCGGTAATGTTGTCGGTGAGTGTTTGAAATACCGACCAAAGATATCCTTCTGTAAATTCATCAGTCATTGTGGCAGCTATTGTCAAATGCTGATGAATGAATTCCGTCGGTAAATCGGTCGGGGAATGTATGAAATACCGACCGAATATATCCATCGATAAATTCATCGGTGAATGTGGCAGCTACTGTCAAATGCTGATAGATTCATTCCATCGGTAAAACCCTTTATAATTATTTTTTTCTTAAAAAATATTTAGAAAACGTAATATAAAATTATATAAATTAATGGTAATAAAAACCAATTATGCAAATAAAATTTCTATTAAACATAAAAAAAAAGTTAAATAATATTCATTACAAACTGAATGTGTTTCAAAAAAAAATATTAAATGAACTATTAAAGGTAATAAATATTTATTACAAATTAATATAAAGGTGGTGGTGGAGGAGGAAGAGGAAAAGGCTGGTGGTTATATGGCAAAAAAGGATGAGGCGCACATATTCCACTATGTGATGCCATGTTCATGACCATTTCACGAAACTGTTCATGATCCACTTTTTGTTGTGCATGCTTTGCTTTGAGTTGTGCATACTCCGCTGATAGGTGGTCATATTTTTCGATGAGCTGAGCCATATGTTGTTGTAAGGTTATGAACTTCTTAAATTGGGTGCTCGATATTGATTTGGAGCTTCCAACAGTTGAAACACTACGGGTCGCCCGCAAGTTCTCGGCCATAATGTTAGAGAGCTCGTAAATCCAATTTTTATTGAGTCCACCAGATGATCTAACCTTCATCCACAAATCCAAATCGAATTCCGGATGGGTCAAAGGATCGTCCCTATATCTCTCCCTCAACCGGTTATTATAGGTCTCCTAAAAATAAAAAAAAAGTAATCATCATATTCAATTCAATAAACATAATAACTAACAAAATAAAATAGTTGAACAAACATACCATGAAATGTTGAACGTGGTTGTCAATAAATTGTTACGCCCCCTTTTGGCGATCTTGACTCCGCATGTGCGTCTTCACAAATAGCTCTATCGGGTTCGGCTCACGTCCAAGAAACGTAGCCTAAAATGAAAAAAGATTTATTAACAAAAAATTAATTTAATGACATATTTCATTTAAATTAATCTTACCATTCGTTTTGTATATGCAGCAAATGAAATGAAGCCGCTAGTGTGCGTTGTCACCGAGCCATGAATTGGCCGATTATGGTTACCAGCATTGGACTGTGAATGTCGTGTGAACCGCTTAGAAGTCACGTACTCAAGATAGCGTGGCCATATATCTTCCAGGATGTATATCAATTTGAAATCCCTCCAAACCGCAACGTCGTTCCAACCTACTTCATACCAAAAGTCATGCAACCTACTTTCATAGACGGAAATTACATTTTAAAACATAAATTTTTCGCTAAAAAATATCTTGTATTATTTTCAATGTTACCTAGTTGCCGCTTGATTTTCCCACACCCTCCTCACAATAGTGTCATGCTCACCGTCCTAGCAGAATTTGTCTTGTATATAAATAATTAATTTTTTTAAAAAATAATAATTTATTATAAATAAGTTGGACATTATAAATTAACATCAACCTCAAAATTGTCAAACCATGCATTGATTTGAGGCATTCATTCATGATGCCTAGATATTTGACTTCATTGAAATAATAGAATCTCCATTGACGATTTAAACACCGATGATATTACTTGGGCGACCTCAATGTTTATGAACCTAAAAATAAATGAAATTAATGAAATAATAATTACTTCATAAATTATGTTATAATTTTTTTTTTTTAAAAAAAACTAAAACCTTAAAAAACTTACATTGGAAAGTCATCCTTTTACTGTGTCTCGTACTTACAGGTAAATTGATTTCGCTGCGAAAGCACACCACCTTTGCGCTGTTTTTAAGCTTTTCTCCTCAACCCATGTAACAAGCGTTGGGCCAATAGCTCCCAAGTCAGTTGACTTTAGGGTATTAGGTGTTAAAACACCCCTTCGGGCTTAATTGCTTAGGTTAGGGAGGCTACGAAACCAAACTTATCTACATTTTTATTATCATCATTTTTTTTTTCTTTTTTTTTTTTTTTTTTTTTTTTTTTTTTTTTTTTTTTTTTTTTTTTTTTTTTTTTTTCTTTTTAATTATATACAATCCCTTTCCCTTAGTTGTTACCTTTAACAAAAGAACATAAATAATGTAATAATCCAATATGCAACCCACAATCATATGTTAAAGTGTGTGTGTGTAAATTAAGGTTTAAGAATACATGTTAAATAAGTATATGAGCAGAATTAAGTGGTAACAATACGAGAGTTTGTAAACCTGAATATTTCAGGAAGTATTATAATAGACCTTGTTAAGAATGGTTACTAAGATGCGTCTCAAGAGTCACTTTAACAAAAGAACTCCTTTACTCTGCCATCCTAGTAACAACAATTATGCACATGCTTTATGAAATGAAAAACAATTTTTTTTTTTATCAACTACTACCCTCTCCCCCCAACCAAAACGAGACATTGTCCTCAATGTTCTAAGGTAGAAAGATAGAGTATAAAAGATATCACCTGAAATAACGAACACTGACAAAACCTGAAACACACTGAAACAAAAATAAGAAATAACAAAACACAATAATAAAACCAAAAGACATAAACATTCACAAATGAAGGCTCAAATCCAATCTAAGCTTTTTACGGCTTTCCTTAGATGACCAATTTATGCGACTCATGGAAGGATCAATCACAGGAATGAAAGATTGTAGTTGGTCAATCAATTGTTCAGCAGTAGTAGCAGAGATTATGATTTGTCGTGC